TGGAAACTAACCAAAGAGAGAAGAACCTAGAACAGTGGTGGCGAACCTATGGCACGGGTGCCAGAGGCGGCACTCGGAGCCCTCTCTGTGGGCACATGTGCTGTTGCCCCAACCACGCCTTCCCCTGTGACCCCCTCCTCTCCAGCAGCCCCCCTGAAGTAGAGTTGCCCCTGAGTGTGGCCCACACGGAGCAGCTCAGCCAAGGACATGGCAGCCAGGCAGCGTAGACAAGACTCTGCCCTCACACCCCATTGTGCACAGTTGATGCTGCAGGGCGCGGGCAGAGGGTGTGACCACCATAGCGCTGCTGTGCTGCCTGGGCGACCTGCGGCGGGCCCTGGAGGCGGTGAGTGGCCCTGCAGGCAGGCAGGGTGGGGATGGGGGGGCAGGGGGTGGAGCAGGGGCGGGGCCAGCTTTTGGGCACTCGGTCTCTAAAATGTTCGCCATCACTGACCTAGAACTAAAAAGAAATTTCCTGACAGTTAGAACAATTAATCAGTGGAACAACCTGCTTCCAGAAGATGTGAATGCTCCAACACTGGAAGTTTTTAAGAAGAGATTGGATAGCCATTTGTCTGAAATGATATAAGATTTCCTGCCTGAGCAGAGGGTTGGACTAGAAGACCTCCAAGGTCCCTTCCAACTCTGTTATTCTGTCCTATAATAAGATCTCCATCAAGATCTATTAGTTTCTCATACAAAAGGGAATGATACGGTGCCTTCAGAAATAACTCATGTGATCCAATAAGTTCACAGTCTATATTCTGTCTTTCTAGTCTTCTAACTTGTATTCTGCTTTGAGGGGCAATAGCTCTGAAAAGCAGATAATAATAATACATTCATTTTTGGTCTGAGAATAAGCCCTACATTGGCCAGAATGCTTATTTGCATTTTTAAATCTGTCTTCTGCTAGTCTCTTCTTGGTCATCCAAGATCAGCATATTGTGCATGAGAAGGGCTGAATGGTTAATTTAGTTCCATATGTGGAAATGATGTATGACAAATTAACAAATACTATACATGTAGGATACGGTTAGCGCAAGTTTGAATAGTGTGATATTCAATTTAGTACAAATTATAAATTGATAGGAGGTTGTGTTTAATGTCAGCCCAAATTCAGTTACATAAGGCTAACACGTGTGCAGCTGAGGCTCATGCATGTACAAGTGTTATTGGGGTTCTAATCATTGTGTTTGCAATATGGAGAAAAGGTTCTATTTGAGGAAAGCTCCAAAAAGAAGTTCATTTTGAAGAACTACAGCAGAATATAGGAGATGGTAGGTATTTATTTATTTTTATTTATTTATTAAATTTATGAGACACCTATCTCACTCTCCAAAGCAACTTTGGGCAGTTTACAAAAGGTATGCTTTGGATACGAGTTTATCGTCTTTTATTGTTGTAAAGGATATATTAATAAACATATTAAAATTATGTTTAAAAAGCGTAATTGCCTATTTCCATCAAGCTGGAACCAATTACCCAATTTTCCATAGAAATATCACTTTCAATCGCGCAAAATTGAACAATGCCGCCATTTTGTAGGATTCATTAACCACACTAATCGAGATGTACGTGTGCCTTGCACACTGAATCAAAGCAGGAGATGCTTTAAGTGTTGTATGTGATAGGGCACATGCAATTCAGCAACATGAAAATTTAAAAGAAACATCTACTAGTTTAATCCACAAGGAGGGTGCAGCCATATTTTTCATATGACAAACAATGTGGATTCAGATCCTTTAATTTTATAATTAATGCTTATAGAAGTACAATTTGTATTCAGCCTTATGTCTTAATTAGTATTAGACTAATTCCCAGCTTCAAAAAAAATATTGTCCACCTGGTCATAAAATCCTTTGAATCACTGAGCAACATTTTGAGCGAGTTGATTTTGCCACGTTGGTGAAATGACTGGCATATTTAGTGCATGATCAGAAGGGAAGTAGAAAAACCTGAGTAGAAAATAAAACAACTGTGCAAAAATGAGACATATGGACACTCTGCCTGACAATTCTGCCATAACCTAGTAGTCAAGTAATTACTGCCATACTCCCACCTTATAATCATGCACATGGAAAGAACATGCATACAGTCATAGCTGCATGCCTCCAGCATCGCTACATAGATCATATCTATGACTGTGCTCTAGCGTTGACCCAGACATCCTTCCAGGAAAGAGTTCTTTCATGACCAAAACCAAAATAATACAACATAACCAAAGTAACACATGCCAAGAAAAGAAAGCACTCAGTGCATTACCCATTTTACTTATCTAATGCTCTTGCCAAGTACTTGCAGAATACATACAGCTCTCTATTGATAGAAGTTCCAGACTTACTCAGGAAGGGGAAGATTCTTGACAAATAGCCAAAGAAAGGGAAGGCACTGAAACATGGGATATATGATCTCATTCTGGTGGAGATGGGATTGGGGAGCAGGAGTCTGGAGTTCTCCAGATCAGAAGAGAGGCAAAAATAAGCTCCCAACCCATTTAAAGCCTCTTTAAAAAAAAACACCAGCAGCAACAACAACAATAACAACAACACATGCTTGGCCAAAACAAAGCAATTTCCCAACACTACCACCCACCTGGTGCAAACTTCTTTCCCTAGCTATTAGCTATATAGGAAGAAGTAGCAGATGAGTAGATGCATCTTGTGGCATTTTCTCCTCTCATATAAAAGATTTCAAGATCCTAAAGGTTGCAAAAGGACCCGTGATCTATCCCTAGGTCAAGTCCAAGCTGTTTATTCTATTTTATTTATTTATTTATTTATTTATTAAATTTCTGTGCCACCCATCTCACTAATACAGTGACTCTAGGCAGCTTACAATATATTAAAAAGTTTAAAAGTGCTAAAAATCAATTAAGATTAGAATAAAAAATCAAAAATTGAATGCCAGGATGATGGGTAGCCTGGCAGTGAAATTCTTCTCTACCCTGTCAGCTACCCCTAGTGTAGCAGGTCCCTATCAGGGCCCTGAGCCAATAAGCGAGCCAGGTTTTTTGGCTCTTCTGGAAGGCCAGGAGTGTAGAGGTGGATCTCACCTCTTACAGGAGAATATTCCAGAGGATTAGGGCCACAGCAGAATAAGCTCTTCTCCTAGACTCTGTCGACGGGATCCACGGGATCCATAGTAGGCCTTTCCCACTGGAACAAGAGGGACAGGTTAATCCCATTAAGATAAGGTGGTTCCTCAGATACTCTGCACCCATGCCATAAAGGGCTTTAAAGGTAATGACCACCAACAACAAACTGTTACTCTATGCCATCACATCTGCCACACTTGAACCAACAAAGAGTAGTGATGCATCGATCAATAGACTGGCTCACTTTATCTCACTGGCAATCCCAGTGAACTGTCTGCTCCCCATGCTTTTACTTCCTTCTTCCTTCTGCTTTCTACACCTACATAAACATGCACGGGTGCTCCATTCCTGCTTTGATCAAACTGTATCTCACTTCAGCCATTTTGCTACAGTTCAGAGCCAGTGGATCTGGTCTGCCATGGAACTGCTTGAAGAATGCTGGTAACATTACTTGCCTTCTCCTACTGGAATGTGGGCTTCTACTAAATCCAAGACTTCTTTACTGCATGCAATATTCAGTGTAATTTTGTATTCCCTGTTTCTCATGTGAAATCTATTTTTGCTTAATGCTGTTTTTTTAAAAAAAATATTGATTTTAATGGCATTAGAGTCGTAATTTCAGGGACTGCAACTTAAGAGTGTCATTTATAATTTTTGCAATTACCTCTATTTTTAAAGGGAGGTTGAACATTATTCTTTTATCACAATATCAATGTTTTCTTATTCTATTGTTCCATTACTTTACTACCGTTATATTTATACTTCTTTTCATTTCTCCATTTTTGTTGTAAGTTGCCTAGAGTAGCCGCACGGTATGATAAACTGAGTGAATAAATAGTGTGTCCATGTGTTATTTTGCATGCAGAAACCTAAGATGTCTTTGTTAATTATAATTCTTATACCTTCAAATACAGAAATTAATAGACTAGGCCCACACTACCTATTCATTATATCCTTCTATTCATTACATGATAATCATCACTTATGAACATCTAAATCTACAGTTTGGCTTGTGAATATTTATATATTTTCAACCAAGACACAAACAAGAATTGAAAAGGACTGTGTTTTGTTCTTGTTTAATTTGTTGTGACATCAGCTGTTATCCCTACAAACAGGAAAGACTTGTCTGTTTCCTATCCAAACTGCAGCTCACATTGATTCTATGTCTATACTCATTTTGGAAGACAGACATCTCTAAAGAAAGGACTATTACTGGTGCTTCTGTTTCTGTTTCTACTATTTTCCCAAGCATCACCTTTTGGCAAATTTATTAATTTATGAATGAAACTCTCCAGCTATTGTGTTCTATCAGAACACACATAAAATATTCATTTAAAAATCCAGAGAGCAGGGATCAGAGCTGGCCTTGAAGCTGCTTACTGGAGAGACTTGCCCCACAATTCCAAGAGGTAACACCTCAATTTAAAGAAAAATAATACACTGCACAAGCTGCGAGACAGCTTAAGTACAAGTCAGGTCTAAGCCCCCTGAATCCTGCAACCTCAGCAAACGAACACACAAAACCGCATTACTCTTTGCCACGATTTTGACTGTTTTACAGTTTCACTCATTCTTTTTTGTTAGACAGCATTATCTATTTCTAGTTACACTTCTAGCTCAGTTATTAAACCCTGAATGTAAACTTCGATTAATGCAAGTTCAAGTAATGCAATAATAAGTTTAGACTGAACTGTAAATTGATACCAGGTCATGTTTAGTGCAATTCAAAGTTCAGTTAATGAAAGGCTAGTTTGTACACTGATGTGGTTGGGGTTTTAGATGCTGCTACTCTTCTTGTGTGCACAATGGAGGAGGAAGATTCTGTCAGAGGAAAACAGTACAATCTCAAAAAAACAAGAGACTCATTATTAATTAGAGCAAAAATTTGATGTAAATAAATGACATGAAGGTGGTCACAGCAAAGGTAAACAAGGACAAGATCTTGGAATGCCTGAATTTATGATGTGCAATGCTATAAAACTCAGAGAAGAAAAGGTAAAGTTGCACAACCTTTTTTGGAATTTGCAAACATCTTCAAGGAGTTTGAGAGCACTAAAGATGTTTTTGGTTGTGTGAAGGAATGATCTTTAGAAGTTTTTTTGTTTTTATGTTGATTTCAATAACTACTCTGTCCTTAGTTAACAATAAATGTAAATTATAAGTATTTTCTTTTTGTCCTTTACTGTATGTGTATATGTGTGTGTGTGTGTATGTATACACACACACACACACACACACATTTATGTTTAAACATTTTCATAGCCTATTAGGGTCCCTCAAGTTGGGACCAATTACCCTATTTTCCATAGATACATTATGGTGAATTTAAATAATGTGACCATTTTGTGGGATTTATTAACTGCATTAATTGAGACCTAGCTGTACAACATTGTGAGAGCCTCTTGCTGACCTGGTGTTCCCCCCTCTACTCCCATCTCCCTTGACCAAGACCTGAAGCCCTGGCTCACACCCTTGACATCATAATCTGCACAAGCTTGCCATTGGCTGCAGCACCTGCTGATCAAAAGAGGATAAAGGTAAAAGGGTGATGGAGGCCTCCCACTGTCCTTTCCTATATTGAAGGCAGTCAAGAGGCAGAAACAGAGGCCTTTACAGGTATGAAGAGCCCAATACATATGACATGGTTTCATTTGTTACCGTTCTCCTAAAGCAATAAATAAGTTGAATGAGGGTGTCCTTGGAAACAGGTTCAACAATTTTTATGCCATGGCTTAAATATCCAAGGCAATAAATGGAAAAAAGTAAGAGTTAGAGACATTAGAGTATAAAGTGGAGAAGGAAGTTTTGGTTTAGTTTGATTCTTGACAACTGCATTATTTCACCTTATATTAGCAGTTTCGTAATGGATGGCTGTGGCTAACAAATTCAGATATTTGTGAATTGTACAGATCTACAAAGCATGTCTTTGATATTCTACAACTCAACTTGCATGCATTTATGTAAAAGAAAACCTCACTCATTTCAATGAAATTTACTTTACAGAAAAAATATGTATCATTAGTGCATTAATTTCTAAGAACTTCTAGCTGACTTTGCAGAGATTCTAAGCGTACTATAATACCGTATCCTACTGTTTCTCTAATAGCCTCCCTCTTTGACTCAGTTCTTTTAACACAAAGTAATAGGGCAACTGATCTAGCTCAGTGATTGAGCTCATATTTTATCAGAAGATCCCAGAGTCAGTCCTCAGTATTTCCAGGTAGGACTGGAAAATTTCCTGCCCCTGCAGCCAGTCAGCGTTCATAATACAGCATTAGATGAATCAATCTGATTCAGTGTGAGACAGCTTCCTATGGTACGTGAATTATTATTGGCAATTATGGACAATGTGTGGCAGAGATAGGATAGACATGTGCTGCATAACTACTGCCAGCAAAATAGAATATGGAGATCAGCAATGATATTTCCCCTACTTTGCAAAAGGTGGCAGCTTTCTTCCAGGTCTTGTGAGTTTGCAGTGTTTTGACTATTGTTTTGAATTCAAAACAGGGGTTCCTACAAGCTAAGAACCCTTGTAGAATGGTGAGAGCAACTCGTTTTGAACTCAAAATAACCATTTCAAACTCAAAGCTGAGCATTTTGAAATGTTTCAAATTCAAAATGTTTTCTCCACCCCACTATTTCAAGATAGTGGTGTGGTGCTTCAGGAAGGAAGGCTCAAAAGTTGTGGCACCTGTCCTAATGTTTAAGCTAAAAGGAGCACGGTGGCTCACGTGGTTAAGACCCTGGGCTGACAAAACAGCAGGCTCGGGTTTGAGATGTGGTTGCTGCCTCGTGGCAGGGTGAGCTCCCATCACTTGCTCTAACTCCGGCTGAACCAGTTAGAAAGTGGGCAACCACAAGTAGATAGATGGATACCACTTCAGTGTGCAATTTAACAGGGACATGAAAGGAGCTCCCAACTGGGTGCCCCCCAGGCAACTTTGATATCACTGTTCAATTCTTTCAACTTGGAAGCCCTTCAGTGCTCCTGACACAACTGTAGTAGTAGTAGTAGTAGTAGTAGTAGTAGTAGTAGTAGTAGTAGTAGTAGTAGCTGAAAGTAGTGTTGTATCTTGAGTGTCTTTGCTGCAGAATTCTTTTACATCTGATGACTGCAATCTGTTCTTCTGCGAGACCAATTCCCCTTTCATCTTCTTCAGGAAAGGGAGTGATGTTTTTGGTACAGTCTCCCAGTATGAGCATGAGTGTGTACTTGTATACCTGAACTGCAGTGTAAATCTATAACACATATCACAGTCAACTCATTTTCTTTCTTGATTTCCAGCCGGCCTCACCAAAAAGAAATAACACCATGGTTGATTACTACCAAGCACTCAATGTCCCACAAACTGCCTCCTCAAATGATATTAAAAAAGCGTAAGTAGTCCTTGCTCAGAGCTCACTTTGTCTATCTGTAAAGCTAAAACTACTTTTCATTTGTGTTGGCCTACACAATTACAGCTTTCATGACCTAAAGCCAATACATATCACTGTTTGTATTGTGTTTGTTGATGGTGGTTGGAATCCAACATCTCTGGGAGAGTTCCAGTTTGGAGAAGACTCTACAGAAACCTGTCATTTCTAAGCATTCTGAATTGAAAGCTTGAATATACACCTATTTTGAATGTTTGAATGTGCACTCATTTCAACTGTGTAATGGGTATCTTTGAATTTTGGGGAAGTGTTTTGAGGTTAAAATAGACGTTTCAAGCTCAAACACTTTCAAAATGCTATAAATGGCCTGTCAGACACATGAACTAGCACTCAGAGTAAGGTGTAGTGTTTCAAACCCAAACAGTTCATATTCAAATAGTTTGCACAATCCTACTACACATATTGTATGAGACAGGAACAACAACATATAGTTAAACATTCTTTAGTGTTCTTCCTGACTTTTGGAGTGAGATGCAAGGGAGGTTGATAATTGACTTTTTGTGAGAATGCAGAGAACTTAGCTTTTAAACTCCAAGAAACTTTGTTTAGCCATACATATGAAATAATAGGTACAATGTGATTATTTTTTTGTGGGGATTCTGCTTGCTATACTGTCACTGTAAGCACCCTTTAACAAATATATAAATTCAGATAAAGTCTGACAATTGAAATTGGTGTAGTTATGAACCATTAGTACCTTCTGGGGAATACATAAATTTTCATTTATTTGGCTGTCAATTGATGGCTGTCACTCTGTGATCAGATATCTCACTGTTGGCTTAGCATGAAATGATTTATCATAATCAGCTCTCTCTCTCTCTCTCTCTCCCTGGAACGTTCTAGGTACAGGAAGAATGCACTGAAATGGCACCCGGATAAGAACCCAGGGAACAAGGAATATGCTGAAAGAAAATTCAAGGAGATAGCGGAAGCATACGAAGTGCTGTCAGATGGTATGTGCTCCATCTTGCTTTCAAGATTGCTCTTCTCTGAACTACTTCCTGTATATTTAAGGATGGCTTCTAGCTTTTCTTCCTTGTGTGACACAATAGTCCTCACCTATAGAATAATTTATTACATGCCATTTTGCTGTGCAACCCCCATTCCTTGATTTTTCTTCTTCTCCCAAGTTACCCACAGTGCTTTCCTTAGATTTCCTGGCTACCCTTTGCCTCTTGCTAAGAACCAGAAGGCTCTGCCAAGGATCCAAGAGTAGTTCCATGTTTTCTGATGTTGAATTATAGCTATAGCTATTGGGCTTCAGTGTTACAGTGGAAAGGTTAGATCAGGGGTCTTCAAACCTGGCCCTTTTATGACTTGTGGACTTCAACTCCCAGAATTCCTCAGCCAGCGTGCCAGTGTGCCTCATGCTGGCTGAGGAATTCTGGGAGTTGAAGTCCACAAGTCATAAAAGGGCCAAGTTTGAAGATCCCTGGGTTAGATACTCAGGTGGGACTCTGCAACTAGTATAGTGAAAGATGAATATGCTTAAAATAGGAATTTTGACCCTTTACATCAGACATGTCAAACACAAGGCCCGGGGGCCGGATGCGGCCCGCAAAGTGGTTTCAGGTGGCCCATGAAGCCATCCTGGAAACAGTGAGGGAACGGTCCCCGCTGCCTTGGCCCTGGCCCAGGCCGGCCGGGAGCCAATGTACAATTTTGTGGTGGCCATTTATGCTGAAACGCATTCAGTCTTAGCTCCACAAGGCCGTCTAGAAACAGCAAGGAACCAGCCCCTGCTCTGTCGGCCCCACCCCCTGGGTGCATGCTGGGAAGGTGTCACCCTTTGTGAGGAATGAAGAAATGGACAATGCCTTGGTGCTTGCCCTGGTCCCACCCCTTTCTGCCAGAGACCCTCATATCTGTCCCACTCCTGCCCAGGCCCCTACAGGCACCCTTGACGCGAACGATGTAGAGCTGGCCATGCCCACCCAGTAGACCACACGCACTCCATCCACACCCACCCAGTAGGCTGCCCCCCGCCCCCCCGCTGATGCGGTCCTCAATGAAATTGAGTTTGATGCCCCTGCTTTACATTGTCTTTCTTCCAGATTATAAACGTGACCTTTATGATCTCTATGGAGTGGAGGGTCTTCTCAATCTAAGTACAGGTAAGCATCCTATTCTGAATGATTCAGAGAAATAGTTGAAAAATTGAAAAGAGGCCATATTTTCTGTGCATGTATTGGTTGTGTTTCATGCATTAGTGCTGGTGCTTGTCACAATTAGCCTCCTATAGAGCTTAGTTTTTCCCCTGCTACCCTGTAAGGATGTGAATTCATTTAGCACCCCAGGGCAGTATCCGTCCTGTACACGGCACCCCATGTTTGCATCCAGGCAGTTTCTATTCTATCGGAGATAGAATTTGAACAATTTCATGAACATTCCCGTCAAAAAGGCCAAACTGTTCAAAATGAAGAGGGATTTAATATTTGATCAATGCTTCTACAACTATCCACGTGTGTATACGTGTGTATGTGCACGCGCCCATGTATGATGCCCTCACTTTACAGCATTCTAAATATGCATTTTTCGTAGTTAGGGGGTCTTCTTCCCATCCTCCAATTCAGCAGAGGATTCCCTCCCTGCTTATGGCTCTGCTTCCAACCTGCTGTGGGCAACGCGATCGTTCCCAGCAAATCATCTCCTTCCTTTCTTTACTTTGGGAAAGTTGGAATTTATAATGGGCAGGTGTCTGGTTTGTTTTCTGCAAGGAACGGGAGCATGCCCGAGCTCAACAGGGACCTCCGATCTCCTGTTCACGTTTCGAGATGCTGATGAGGTCTTCAGAGAATTTTTTGAAGGACAAGACCCCTTCACTGAGATCCTTGGTAGGTACAGCAAGTACATAGGACAGTGATGGTGACCCTTTTAGAGACCAAGTGCCCAAACTACAACCCAAAACCCACTTATTTATCACAAAGTGCCAGGACTGCATCAGCATTGTGGTGCCCTCGGGGGGGGCAGGGGGAGTGGCCCATTGGATGGGCGTGGCTGCAGTGGTCACGGCAGACTGGGTGAGCGTGGCCAGGGGCAGGGCAGCGGGAGCCAGCCCCTTGCCATCTCTGGGGCATCCTTGGGGGGCCAACACTGCTTGCTCACTCACTTCCTGCCGTCGCTTCCAAACGCCATGTGCTTGCTACTCTGGCGAACTCTGGTGGGGCAATGGCGTGCATGCCCACAGAGAGGGCTCTGAGTGCCGCCTCTGGCACGCATGCCATAGGTTCACCACCACTGACATAGGGGATGTGACATAGAAACCAGCTGTCTTGGAAATTGCACTTCTAGCTCAGTACTGCCGTTGTTGATGGGCACCATATCTTCAAAATTTCACTGAGGTGGTCTTGGCCAGACCAACCAGCCCAGAGGCAAGGTGTGTACAGGTAATAGATAGCTTGTGCATAAAGATGTTATCATGCAAATGCCACTACTTAGATAATTGTATGCGGTGTCATGATATAAATAAATAAATATAGCATTTGTGTGACGTCATCATTATATATTTGCCACTTTGATGCCACTGGTTTGTTATGGATGTCCTTGGTTTTCTTAAAGAGGAATTATCCTAAATTTTAAATATTCTCCAGCCAATGTCCACTATTTCCCAAAGGAAGAGACCTGCAAAGTGAAATTAATTAGGCAAACATCTTGCTCATTAAGAAGTTGTTACCAAATGGTCACATACTAAGTAGAAACAGTCGTCTCATTTGTTAGGCAATAACTTCAAATAAGCAGTTGGCAGCGCAGGGGGGAAATTTGTGGTATGTGTACCCCACAGCCTGCTCTCTATTCAAGGCCAAGCTTGGTTCTTGGATGCAGTGGGCTGCAGAGCGAATGCTACCTTGCCATCATTTTTTAAGCAGGAACCAATATGGTATGGTGGTGACACGTCCTTCAACTTAGGTGCCACCCAAATATGTGAATTTTGATTTCCAAGATTCTTAGTAATGGTCATGCTGACTAGGAAGCCTGGAAGTGAAAAGCCACACCAAAGAAGTATTGGACTAACCCTGGAGAAATCTAGCTTAAAGGTTTAGCCAAAGAAGCTCATGATCATGAAGCACAATTCTTTTTCCAAGGCTACCATTGGGATAAAAATGAATGGAGAGAGTGTTTTGTGGGCTTTCAGCTCTGAAAGAAAGATGGAATATAAATATAACCATTGAATAATAAATATATCAACAACCAGTCTAGTCTACCTATGCATACGGGGAAAAAAATGAGAAGCTCCAGTTTGCCATTTGCCTCTGGCAGCAAAACGTTTAGGGCTGGCCTTGGAATTCAAGCATATAGCAATCAACAGACAAGTTGGGAGTTTTTGTGAAAATTAATCACACAGCAGGAAATCTCCCTGCTGAATAGAACTGGAGGATAGTATTCCTTTGCTTCACAAATATTTTTGAACAATGACCAGCTACTGCATGTGATTAATAATAATAATAATAATAATAATAATAATAATAATAATAATAATAATAATAATAATAATAATAAAGTTGGAAGGGACCTTGGAGGTCATCTTGTCCAACCCCCTGCTCAGGCAGGAAACCATATACCATTTCAGACAAATGGCTGTCCAGTCTCTTCTTTTTTTTTTTTTTTTAATTGAAAATTTTTAAAATTTTTACAATATAACTCCCCACCTCCCTCATACCCCACCCTTCCCCACCCCCTCCCTTCCCCTTCCAGTCTCTTCTTAAAAACTTCCAGTGTTGGAGCATTCACCGCTTCTGGAGGCAGATTGTTCCACTGGTTAATTGTTCTAACTGTCAGGAAGTTTCTCCTTAGTTCTGCAGCCTGGGACTCAAGAAAGTTATTTAAAACATTAAAAGATGAAGAAAAATCAAACGGGAGAGAATACAGTGGCGTTACTCCTTCACTTAAGTTCTTTTCCTAAAGAAAAGAAAAGGAGCACAAATCACAAATCTACTGCAGGAAAAGGGGAAAAAGGGCCAGAATGGCAGGAGAAGAGTTGCAGCCCTTCCCTGGTTGTATAAAGAAAGGGGGGGTTGTCTGCTGTTTCCCATGTACAGAGTCATAAACAAGAAGAGCAACACAATATCTGGGATTCATATCGGTGCAACGCATGTCTTAGTGCCAATTCCAAAAACACGTAGCCGTCGAACCAACAAACGTTTCTCATTATAGCAGGGTTGCCCAAAGCTGTCAATATCCATTGTTGTTGTTGTTGTTGACGACCCTGTTGTTGTTATTCGTAGTTCTATTAGTTAAAGTAGTATTTATTAAATTATTTTCATATATTAAATATTTGAGCATCAATGAACATTCTGAAACTTAACGAAGAGATCAATAAGCTGAAGAGTCCAGGTGGCCCTGAATACAACCTATTATTTTGTAGAGGTTTATCATGAAAATGACACAATAATTAAAATACAATACCAATTGTTCTTTACACATTAATGAAAGATACAAGACAAGGTTGAAGATAAGCTACTTTCTACTGCAGTCAGCTATTAATAAAAAATGCAAAAGGTGCCAAGCACAGGAAATTGCAGCCAGATTATTTACAGCTGCTCGTACATCACGTCCTAGACACAGAATCAAATCAGTCATACGGAACAGCGAAAACGTCATCTATATACCGTATATATAGAGATGTGTGTAACACACGAAACCACTGTAGCTTATAAATAATATATTTGTGAATCCAAGGGATTGTTTTGTAAATCATGTTGTGTGAATTCACCCAAATTCTAGTTTATTCGATTGACTATGTGTGAACATAGTCGTGGTTTGGGCCATTCCCAAAAGAAAGCTCACCTGAGTGGGTTTTTACAACCAAGCTCCACCTTATCTGAGGTTCTATCGGGCCTCCATTTAATTAACAGACATTCCAATGTTACAAAGAAAGGCTTATTGTATTGCAACATACGTTGCAACTATTGTTATAGCACCTGCAGACAAGATCTTTGAAGTTATGTGATCTCATGCATTCTTGCAACAATCAGCCTTGCCCTGTGATGGCTGAGCACCAAAAGCTTACCAAAGGTGCCTTGCCTAGGAACTGTACTCACTTTTAGTATATAAGCTTAAAACCAGGTCTTTCATTTACTAGGCCACTAAAGGTCAACTTTCTATGACCAGAAATCTCTTTCTATGCATTGTATCTATCTATTAAAGCAGTGATGGCGAACCTTTTAGAGACCGAGTGCCCAAACTGCAACCCAAAACCCACTTATTTATCGCCGGGTGCCAGGTGGGCGTGGCCCACTGGGTGGACATGGCTGTGGTGGTCATGGCAGACTGGGTGGGTGTGGCCAAGGTGGGCGTGGTCACCTCGATGTTGCTCATGGGGAAGGACGCCTGTGGGGGCCGGGCAGGGTTGGGGGAGATCCAGGGGGTCTCTGGCAGGTGGGGCAGTGGGCAGGAGGCTCGTCCTGCGAGGCAAAGCATGGCAGGGAGGGGGTGCCATTGTTGCAGGGCAAAGCAAGTCAGGGGCCGGGGAGGCTGCTGCCTGACACCATCAACCCCCGCACACAGAGGCCAGCGAGTGCATGGGGGCCAACAGTGTCCATCAGCAGCCACAGCCTGCTGGCCCCTCGACCGGTGCACTCTGGGCTCCGCAGCCCACCGCCAGCAGTTCAGAGAAGCCGCCTCTGAGCTGGACGGCCGGCCAACAGCTGAGGAGGCGATGCAGTGGGTCGTGCCCAGGAAAAGGAGAGCATGCGAGGCCAGGAGGGATGAGACAGGGGGAAGGAAACCAGCCGTGCTGGGATGCATCCGGCCACGTGGGACCTCGGCGAATTAGCGGGCGGCTGGTTGAAGAGGGATGGTTGCCATCTCAGGGGCATGGCGTGCATGCCCACAGAGAGGGCTCTGAGTGCCACCTCTGGCACATGTGCCATAGGTTCGCCACCACTGTATTAAAGAAACTGTTAAAGAACTAGGACCGCAAGCCTTGAGGGTTTTTTTTTTTTTACATGAGTTCACAATGTGTGCCAATTTGTATATGGGTTACTTTGCATAAACATTGCGTTTCAGAACATGCCCAACATTCTTTAGAAGTTGTATGCTGCAGTTCAATAAAAACAGACAAACTGCTGGGTCATTTGATTAACTTTTTGGGTCTACTACTTATGTGAATCTAGATAGTGGCATGTCACCCAAACATTCCAGATAGTCAAAAGCTGGAAAAAAGTGAAACTCTCTGAAAATATCCTTAATCAGTTCTTGCAAATATGGGAGTACCCGTCTTACAAAAGTACTTCTGTATTCAAGGTTGTTAAATTTTGACATCGTTGATAACGAGTATTGTCCCTCTAAATAAAAGTCCTTAAGAGTATGTGGGAACCAGTAAGGTAGCATACAAAAAAAAACCCTGATACCTAACAGCTGAACCCTATTTTCCCCCCTTTTAGCTTTGTTAATCACAACTTAATTTTCTTTGAGTCCAGTATTTGATCTCCTTAGCTATAGGCTTTTTTCATGTCTATATCTGAACCCCAAACCTCCATTGAAGGATGCATTTTATGAAAAACAAATTTCATTCTCGGTTCAAGCTTATTTAATGTAATTGCAGATTTTTATTATTTATATATAAATAATCTTCAAACGTTGGAAGGCATACAACAGCCACAGTAATAAATCTACTGTTTGAAACAACCAAACCTAGTACAGTATGTCCTAATGATATTTATTAATCTTTTTTTCTTTCTAGAAGACTTTTCATCCTATACTGATGCACCTGGAGGAATATCTACCTGGACCATGCCAGGAAGTGCTACTTTCTCCTATTGCTCCTATAATGCTCCAGGCCAGACAGGTAAGGCTCTGCATAGCCCTTTCCCTTGCTTTCTCAACCAGCAGAATAGTCTTTGTGCCCCGATTGTTGTGTATGGTAATTGCATGATTTTCAGAATCCATCATTGGAGGATGGGCTCATATAGTGCACCAGACTAGAGTTTGCTCACTATGGTTTGTTGAATAATTTATAGTTGATTGAGTTTATATATTATTCTAATCCATGAACCATGATTTCAAAACTATAGTGGCTGGGTTCATATAATATGCTGAGCCAAGGCACATTATGGCAAAGAAACCAGTTTTTGCTTGTTCCTTGTTTAGCGAAATATATTTCCCATTGACTTGGGAAAACTTCTATCATCTCTTAGGGGATTATTCAACATTTTTATTAATGATTTAGATCAGGGGTGTCAAACTGCTGGCCTGCGGGTTGGACGCGTCACAAGGAAACCGCGCCCACCCCATTGCTGGCAATGGGGGAAAAGCTCCGATATGTCGCATGACGTCACGTGATGTCGCGAGTTTGACATGTCTGATCTAGATGAAAGGACTGATGAACTAATCAGGTTATGCAGGGTAAAAAAAAGTAAGAGGTCTGGGCAACACCTCAGATGACAAAACAAGATTGCAATCCAATCTGGACAGGTTGGAAGATTGAGCTGAGAGGAGTAAGATGTCGTTTAATAGGAAGAACTGTAAAGTGTTACATTTAGGAGGCAAAACGTAGGGTCTATCTACAAGATGGGGAATATATACTGTATACGGCTATGAAACACTGTATCTAACGACTTGGGTATGATTACTGACAATAAGCTGAACATGAATCAAAAATGTGAAGCATCTGCTAGGTGGGCTAACATAGTTCTGGAGTACATCAGAAGATGCATCATATCAAAGACAGGTGAAGTCATTACCCCTCGTTACTCCATTGAGACACACATGGAGAACTGTGTGAAATTCTAAGCACCACATTTCCAGAAGGACTTAGGCAGACAAGAGAAAGTTCAGAGGAGGGTAGCAAGAAAGATCCAGGAAACTGAAGACTTATCTAATAAGGATAAGTTGAAGAAACATAGGATGTTCAACCTGCAGAAAAGACCAAACGGAGTCATTATGATCATGTTCAGGTACATCAAGAAAAGATGAACAAGAATATTTTCCAGGGCCCAAAAAACTAGGACCAGAAATAACAAATAAAAAATTCAGCTATCTACATTTTGTTTAGGTTTATTTCATTTAAAAATATTTTTGATAGTAAGAGTGGAACAGTTAGGTTCTCCAGCTCTGGAGAATATTTAAGAGGCTGGACAGGATGGTTTGATTGGTTTTCCTGCATCTTGCAGAGGGTTGGACTAGATGATCTTTGTGGTGCCACTGCGACAAGTCTGTGATTCTATATCCTTTATCTCGCTGTCTGTTTCTGTCTCTCTCCTCAGCAATAAATGTTGACTCTCCTCCACCACCTCCTCCTCCTCCTCCTTCTCCTCTTCCTCCCTTTTCAGATTTCTACACAACTTTTGGGCCTGGTGCCGAATTGGGAATAGGATTTCGCTCCATTTCCACTTCTACAAAATATGTCAATGGCAAACGGATAACCACCAGGAGGTGAGGTGATGAGGATAACCCCACAATTCTTAGGATAGCTTGTCCCCTCAATCATTTCCACTAAAGCTAAGGAACTTTTATGGAAAGATAGTAGTAGAAATAATGCTAGAGATTAGAAGCACAAACATACTTCCTACTCACAGGTAAGACATCAATACCCCTGTTTAACTTAAACCTGCTTTCTTCCAAAAGATGGCTATTTATGCCTTGCTTATTCCCATACCTTTTTTAAAACGTTGTTGTTGTTGTTTTTTAAAAAAAACATTGAAAAGTTATCCAGGAAGCTTTTGTAAATGAATATTCTCCTACTGCAACTTCTCTTTAGTTGGTTTGAAGATTTCTGGATGTGGACTGTTTATCTGTTAATGGCCAAAAGGAGGTCTTCGGATGTTTAGATTTATCCTTGTTCATTTTTCACGTTCTGCAGGAACAGATGAATAGAACTTTACTGTTTATTATATTCTTTTCCCATGGTCATATTATTAGTTGAAAGTTCATCCATCAATTCTTGGAAATTTTATATCAGTGTAAGCTATAGACATGAATTAAAACCTATTTATATGGGATTATAAATACCTTGAAACCATATACCCTGGGCCACATTATTATAACCAAGTCAAACTAATAAGTTTGTAGGACCCTTTTGAAGAATGTGGTGTATTGGCTGATAGTTCCTAGATCAGGGGTAGGCAATCTTGGCTCTTTTATGACTCGTGGACTTCAACTCCCAGAATTCCTGAGCCAGCATGGCTGGCTCAGGAATTCTGGGAGTTGAAGTCCACGAGTCATAAAAGAGCCAAGGTTGCATACCCCTGTCCTAGATGGAGAAAGCTACACATGAAATAATGTTGCCCCTCTGCAGGGACAGGCCAGGGGACTCGTGGTTAATTGGCCCAAATATTCTGGGGTTGACGTTTCAGTTTCTATAAAAGAGGAAACTGGGCTCTTTTTTGCAGGATTCTTGAGCATGGGCAGGAGAAAGTAGAAATTGATGAGGATGGTTTGCTCAAAGTGGAAGAAGTACAAGGTAAGACACCTGATTTGGAGAAAACCACTGAACATAAATGTACTAGGAGGGGAGATGAAAGGGCTTTGGCACAGATACCTGCAACGGAGGAAAAGAAGTTTACATAACTCATTCTAGTCAATGAAATTTATAGAGACAAGAGGATACGTCATCTCGTTATCCAGTGGCCCCTATGCAAGGACTAGACTAGAAGTGGGCCAAATTCTAATCTCCTGGGACTACACGCTGTTCCATGTTCTCCTGCCTTTCTCCCTCTGCATAATCATATTTGTCACACTTTCATATCCCTGCCTGCATCTGAATATACAAACATATGTGGCTGATTCCTCATATTTTCCCCACAGCAGTTGATACTGGGAGAGTAGGAAATGCTGAAGTCCAACAAATAGACTTTACAGCCATAGGTTACACATTCTGCCACGAGCCAGCTTTCCTTTATCTGTTTCTTGCACCAGAATCAGGACATCCTGTAATGGTAGGTGTATTCTTGTTCTAAAGAGAGAGTTTAGGATTTTTGACACCTGGCTTCTTGTGGGAAGAGGTAGCCCTTTCCCTAGTTCTGTTCCTACCCAGCTCGGAATAGTGTATTTATTTGCAAGGTAGGCCAGCCTTCAGTGTTGTTCAGCCAAACTAGAGTAGATGGACAGGCTAGGAAAAGGAATCTCAATATCTGACATTTTTATACAAATGCTACTTCAGTCATCTTTTTTTTTTCATTTAATACTGTAATGTGGAATCAGCATTGGGGTGTGTGTGTGTTAATGGCTTCCTGGACCACATAGGGTAAAATTGAAGGGAATATAAAGGAATATTGTTCTTTTCACCCCTTTGCTTTTCTCTTTCAGATCCCAGCAGCAACTTGAGAACCCCGATAGAGCCTATCCAGCAGGAGCAACCTGAGATCTTGAGCTCTGCAGCCGACATCTGGGCTCTACCACGATCGCAGAGTGCTGACTTCTCTCATGCCTACCCTACCAATGAAGACAAACAATTGCATCGGGCAATGGCCTATAGTCTATCTGAAATGGAGAATGTGGGGCAGTACTTAGCACTTGCCCAGGGCTCCAAGAAGAGACGGGGCACCACTCGACGAACACACACAAGAACTTTGGGACCTAATGAGGAAGTGGCTTCTGCTCCATTGGCCATCAGAGCCAAGAGTCCAGGTGCAGGAGACAACATTGGGAAAGAGAGGAAACACAAGCCACCTGAACTGCCCAAAGTAGAAATCATTGTTGAGGTACCAAAGAGCCCAACAGTGAAAGACCACACTGCCCTTAATGATGTGCAGTATGTCTTTCCTGAAATTGTTCCTTCCCGCAGAGAGAGAGAATCTATCATGTGCATCATTCTCTGAATTCAAGAATGCAGGAAGGGAACAACCTGTGTCCATTAAAGGTAACAATCTGGCTATCGGTCTCCATAATTGCATTATTCCCTGGCGTTGTTCTCTAGATGTTCCCCTGCTAAGGTCCTTCTAACTGGGAGTTACAAGAAATATCTAAACTCAATGGAATGTATAAATTTAATCTGCATAATTTGTCCAGAACATAGAAGTTAGCATTTCATAGGGTACACATCTAAAGAATTCTCAAAGAAAATGCTTTAATTAAATCATGGAAGAGTCTGGATTCCTGAAAATTTCTTTCTAACAAAAAAAGAAGAAGAAAAGAAACAATACCCTTCTGCTGAATGAAACCAAAAGCCTGCCATCTCCAGCATTTTAATCTGGCCCCCAATTTATAAAAGGAGAGACATCATTCCCAGGTTGAAGTGTTAGCATTTACCCCAAAATACAGTTTCCACCAATATTTTAAATAAACAGGTTGTTTTAGATCCACAGAGAATATGATAGTGAAAGCGGGCAACTGGTTTCCTCTTTGATGTTCCTTTTCCAGGGCTCTTAAATTCAGGGTTATCATCTTTTTTTCATGTAAGTTCTGTAATTAAATGATGGTGCAGAAAGCGTGCCTGTGACTGGAAACAGGCTGAATAAAATCTAGCTGAACTTCTAAGGTAGTCTGGCTTTCCACCATCAAATTCTTTCACAAATAAATATTGTACAGAGTTTATGGACCACCACAGACAACACGTACAATTGGTCAGGGTTCTGCTTTTTTTAAAATAATTGGTTAGAAAATGAATTAAGGTGTGATCCTGTAACCAGGCCTGTTAAACCTCTTCTATACAATCATTGCAAATGCTGATTCTTTTTAATTATAGTCATCCTAGAACCATACAGGATGAGTAATTTCAAATTCTTGTATATAAGAAATTCCATTGTAGAACATAAGGTAAAACTGTAGATGCAGACTAAAAACAAAAAATAAAAATCTGTATAAAGATTGTATAAACTACCAAGTATGGTTTCTATTGTGCTACGCGCTATAAAAGGGGAAATCTGATATTTTATCCATCTGTTTGAAAGAAGGCAAACTATTTCATATTATCAAAATTCCAGTTCAATTCACCTTCAGGAAACGTTTACTTTTTATCCATTTATAAGAGATGCCGTAATTTATTTAGAAAAGGACCATAATTAAGGGTCAAGAACATTAATCTTGAAAACCATTGAGATTTGCTGCCATAACTGTTTCAGAGAGATTGTTCTAAAAATAAAAAGAGGCATGTACATTTATATGCTACTGAATTTCACATTCTTTTACTAGGTATATGGAAAATGTGTCAGTGATACAAGCCTTTATCTGTACATTTGCAATTACTTTTCCATTCAAATTATTAAATTCAAAGAAAGATTGTCCCTATTGATATATGATACATTAGGTCAGTGGTGGCGAACCTATGGCACGCGTGCCAGAGGCGGCACTCAGAGCCCTCTCTGTTGGCACGCGCACCACCGCCGCCAGCAGCAGGTCTATCAGGCCACCACCGCGGCCTGGAGCAGGAGCCCCGCCCAGCACAAAGGAGGAGAAGCGGCCAACTAGCAAGCTCGAGTAGAGGTGGTAGAGCAAAGGTCACCAACCATTGTTGATTGGTGGACTGGAAGAAAAGGGAGGGGGAAGCATTTTACATGCGTGCATGCACGCATGGGACCGCGAGCACGCATGTGCTGCAAATGGGACGGGGCTAATGCCTTCGTGATACTCACTAGCCCTGCCCCGTTCTTGCATGGGGCAGCACCTTGTATCTGCACCCCACGGCACGGCGGTGGCCGTTTTTGCGCCTTGCAACATGGTGGCCCATTTTTGTGCCCCTGGGTTTTGCGTGCCAGAGGGGGCACTCAGAGGCACCTCCCTGCCCCCCCTGAGAGCACCACAATGCTGATGCGGCCCTGCCACTTTGCGATAAATAAGTGGCTTTTGGGTTGCAGTTTCGGCACTCAATCTCTAAAAGGTTCGCCATCACTGCATTAGGTCAATAAAAGATAAATCTGATGACTGAGCTGATACGTAATTTCTGTATTCCATTATACTCTGGAATAAAAACAACTACAAAGGCAGTAGTCCAGCAGACTTGATAATTTCTAATTATCTACAGTAACCAACAAGGCAATTGTGCACTGTGACTGATCTATAATTTATATGAGACTTTCCAATTGTCTCAACATGCAGGTCAGACTGCTGATTTTGAATAAAGCACAATTGACACAATTGACATGTGAAGCCATAGTTGGATTCACACAACACATTAAAATGTCAACAACCCTTATCCAGACACTTTTTTTTCTCAGCTCCCCAGATTTCTGGGGCATCACAGCTCAGTCCTTCTATTGCCGATTTCAATCTTTCTGCACAACAAGTTCCCCCTTTTTGTTTTTTAACTTTTAAGATTGGGAACTCTGAAGTGTTTGGTCTGACAATACTACCATATCATCAGTAAGAACTAGTTTGATGTTCTGGTGAAAATGCTGTCTTAGAAACCAGGAGACTGACTTCTATCTTAGTCATGAATGCCAGTTGGGGGACCTTAGACAATTTTCCCTTTCTAGCCCAACCCACCTCACAGAATTGTAATAGTGGAGAGGAAAAAAAAAGAGGAAGGAATATTAGGTATGATTGTCACCTTGAGTTGTATATAAAAAAAAGCAAGATAAAAATTTAAAAACACCAGTAACAGCAGCAGCAGTAACCCAAAAAGGTGTGTCTCAAATGCTGATTTCTGCCATCCAATCTACTACCGTATTCATATGCACGCAGATCTGCAGGTTTTCACACAACTCTATAGTCATAAAACAAAATCTTAAGGGGAAAAAAACTTAAGGATTCTGTCAGACTATCTTAAAAAACGTCAATCTTTTGATTCAGTATATTAGATTGTGTAGGCTGTTTGAATGTCAGGGTGATATAAACATGATCTAAAATTCAGTGTTTCTCAACCTTGACAATTTTAAGGCATGTGGACTTCAACTCCCAGAATTCCACAGCCAGCAATGCTGGCTGTGGAATTCTGGGAGTTGAAGTCCACATGCCTTAAAATTGTCAAGGTTGAGAAACACTGCAAAATTATAAATCCTTCTCCCTACTCCTACTGCGCATTATGAAGTCCAGTCGATAGACTTTGGTCCCGGGCAGTAAATTCAGAAGAGAAACTAAAATCGAGATCCGTGCCCGCATCCCATCAATTTGGGGGGGGGAAGGGGGGGAACACCTAATTAAATCTTGACAAGCGCGCAGGCATTTCAATCTTTTTTTTGTTTTTTGTTCCCCCCCCCCAAAAAAAAAAAGCCAACGCGGCTTCCGATTGCAAATGCTTAGACACGGTGATGCAGCAAGGATGCCCGTGTGCGACGTCCAGGTGGGGCTCCGCGTGTCCAGTCGAGAGAGTTCTAGCGGGCTCTTAAGCAGCTGTTGTCTGGGTCGGGTGGCCTTACCTCATCAGTTCAAAGGGCGACGCTCTGACGTCACAATGGAGCTGCGCGTTCTATTGGTGGCGGGCCCCGCCAATCATCGGGCGGGATCAGGCAGGAGCCGGCCTCTTTCTCACTTGACAGCAGCAGATCGAGGCCGGAGCGTAGGGGAAAAAAAAAAAAATCGCGTTGGGCCGCGCGTAGAGCTGCTCGTGGCCATGGTGGAATCCGGACGGAGCCTCCTCCGGTGGTAAGGTACGTCCCGGCGTTGGTGCCTCCTGAAAGATGGGTTAGCAACCCGCTGCATCCTTCTCCGCCGCACGGTTGGCCGTGCAGTAGTAGCGTTAGACGGGGCGCCCTCGGGACCTTAGCAGTAAGGAGACCCCTGGAAATGCAGACCTGCTCCCCCTCCCCAAGATAGGAAAAACAAATGCAGCAGCAGTCATCGGTCAGTAGAGAAATAGGGGCTCCTGTTTGCAAATCTATTGGCGATGTGACTCAAAAAAAAATAACAATTCACAGATTCTGGGTGACTGAAAGGATGAAGCCCCGCCTCCCCCCCCCCTTTTCGGAACAAGTAGTGCCAGGGGTGGCTCGATTCGGTTCCATTCGATGTGCGCATCAGTGGATGGTTACTATTCCCGTGCACTAAAACGGAATAAGGAGCCTCCCCTCTGTACGTACCGTACTAAAGGGGAATATTCTGGTGGAAAGAGGCTGCGGGCCCAAGACAGCTGGCGCCTGGGTTTGGGGTGATCTCCAAATGTATAGGTAAGAAGCCCCCGCAGCCCAAAGTAAATGCTGGGTTGGTTGTTTATTTTGCCACCCGGGAAATCGAGTGCACAGTGCCCGGTCTCATTAGTAGGGAGAAAGGCGGAATCCATTAGAATCCTCGAGAAGCTGAAAGGCGATCCGCCTCTAAGGCCGGATGCTGTCTCTCGGTCCTCTGAAGCAAACAAAAACAAAACAAAAGCAGAGCAAGATCCGCAACTCCCCTTTTTTTTTAGCAAATTATGCATCTTTCATTAGGGAAAGAGAGGCAAGTTCCCTGCGGGAGAGGCGCAGGGAGTCCCGGCTCTTTCCGTCTGAATGCAGCAGGTTGCTTACTCCGTATTGTAAACTGGCATCAGCACGATGGAGCTGCCGCGGAGTATTGGGGTTTAAAAAAAAAAATACACATCCCTGAAATGAAGAGTTCATAAGAAAAATTAACCGGGACGAATTGGAAAGACAGGGCATGCTTTCAGGATTTGGAAAAATAGGCTTGGTGAGATTGGTAGAAAGATTTAATTTCCAGAAATGTAATCTGATAAAATTTGCTTAGATCATGATGACTAGTGATAAGTGACATTTTAAAATTGACATATCAAGGGGTGGCGTTATTATCATGGCTTTCTGGGAAGGCAAGGTGCTTGGTTAGAGAAGCTGATAATTCAGCATTTCCACATATTTGAGCCTGAAAATCATTCCTAGAGCAAAGTAGATGTCCAGGCTGTCATTAGAGCTAAAATATCCATGGACGGAGACAAAACAGATCCTAGCATCATTTCTTTGCACACTGCAGGGAACTGGCCATGAGCTCTGAAGCTCCAATTTAATTACAGTGGACCATTGGTGTATGTGGGGAGGAGGCATCGTGAAGAATTTATAGTGCAAAGGGATGCTGAAGGAGCAATAAAGGATGGGATTGTTTCTGCTTCTTTTCTAGAGGAGGAAGCCCCCTTTTCTAGAGGAGGAAGCTGTTTCTGTTTCTGTTAGCTCATCACATCAGAGACAAAAAGGTAAGGAAAGAAGCCAAATTTTGGGAAAGGTTGTTTGATTATAGGTTACCAGTATCGCCATCAGATAATGAAAGACTTCTACATCTTTATAGGTCATGGGAAAGAAAAGAGTCACGTTCCTTTTTTCTTTACACAGTTAAAAGTCCTGGAGTGCAATCTACTTTAAATTATTCTTTGAGGCAGAGTGAAGTAAGAGAATGCAAAATCTAGGGATCGTCTGAAATGTAGGGTGGGAGCATTTTTGCTTGTTGCCCCATCTATTCAATCTTTACTTATTTTGTAGAAGAGACATTGATGGAAGAGTGGGAAATCATGAAGGAAATATCAGCAAAGAGGAAACAATATATCTTGTGTCAAATGTATTAACAAAGATGCAAATGAGCTACGTAACTCTGGTCATTTTGTTTAGTCCAGAAGATTATCTTAGTATCTGTACTGCAAGGAGTATGAAATGAATATTTTGAATTCAGGAGCAATCAGTTGGGTCCATATGACACTTCCTTATAGAATGTAACTCCTTTGCAGACTTCTGATTGCAAGTTTGAATGATGAGGCTAGAAGAGTCTAAACCGAGCTGAACTTCCGAACAAGGGTGCAACATTGCTGGATCTATAGAGGTAGTTCTCATTTAGCAACCGCAACTTGAGACCTGCAACTTGGTTGGTAAGCAAAGCAGTTGCTAAGTGAACAGCAGCTGTGCTTATGACTTTCAACTTTCCTTGGCTTTACAGACCTGCAGAAGGCCATAAATATAAGGCTCGGTCATAACATTACTTTTTCATCACTGCAAATGGTTGCTAAATGAGGCAGTTGCTAAACAAGGACTGTCTATATTCTCCTCTCCTTTCTGGTCTAGTGTGGTCAGAGCAGCTGTTCTTCCTGCAACCTTCTGTCTCTTAAAAATCTAGGCATACTTCTCATGACTTTATGGACACATCCATGTAGTAATTTCTTCCAGGAGTTTGGACTTCCCAATTTAGCCTGCAGCCCTGGGATTTCCTGAAAGCCTTCTATTCAAGTATTAAATAGGCCCAGCCCTGCTTAGCTCCCAAGGTCAGCCAGGTGCTGCCATCTGTTGAGACATAATTGTTAAACTACTTAATGATACTTAATGAAGAAGATCTGAGCCAACAGCAACCTTCCAGTACTGGAGACTGGGTCACCTTGGGTGCTGCTCTGTTCTGCCCTTGAGTTGGAATGGGTCACAGTGAGATCTGGGATTCCCCATCTCTGACATCCAGGATAGAATTTGACTGGGAAATATAAGTGGTTTTTTGGGGGGAAAGGAACTCCCCATTAGTTGAGGCAATTCTGTGGAGTAGATGTTAGGTGGCAGTGGCTGAAGTAAACAGAAGCAGCTCCCCAGATGGTGCTAGGTAACCCCATGTTGTTGGGTATCAAGGAGTAAATGATTGTGTGTCTGAATTGGGCACAAATGGTCGAATTGCAAGTGGAAAGACCGGCTGTTAAACACAGGCACTTTAAGTGCCTCCAGAGGGATCAGAGAGGATTGTTATAGGAACCGAGACCAAAATATAGTTTTAGATCCTGATGCGGGCCAAGCAAAACCATTCAAAAGATCTCTGTGATATGCATCATTTTGCCAATGCAAGAAGTCCTCGACTTACAACAGTTCGTTTAGTGACCATCCAAAGTTACAACTGCATGAAAAAAGTGACATGACAATTTTTTTCACACTTATGACTGTTATGGTATCCCTGTGGTCACATGATCAAAATTCAGATGCTTGGCAACTGGTTCATATTTATGATGCTTGCAGTGTCCCAGGGTCACGCGGTCACCTTTTGCGACCTGACAAAGCCAAGCCAGTGGGGGAGCCAGTTTCAGTTTACAACTTTGTCACTAACTTAACTAAAACTGCAGTGATTCACTTAACAACTATGGCAAGAAAGGTCGTAAATTTTTGTGGGACAAAATTCACTTAAATGTCTCACTCAGCAACAGAACTTTTGGGCTCAGTTGTGGTCATAAGTTGAGGACTACCTGTGTTTGCACAGCTTTGTCAGAGCCATTTGTTCTGCACTTCCTTCATGCCACAGCACAAGGCCAGGCCACCTGTTATTTAAGGAGGGCAAGACAAGTGATATGGTCTCAGCCTACCCCCTAGGGGAAACCTTTTCTCCACGGCAGAAGTGGGGTGTTTCCTCCTCCTGCTGATGTGAGCTCAGCAATCTAGTCTACCTGCTGGGCTTCTTTATGTCCTACACAAATCCCTCCATACCTATTGGCATACCCCCAGCCCATCCTCCTTCTCCCCATTGTCTGCATTTTTGACATCCATTACCTGCTGGGCTGGCTGCTTTAAAAGGCTGGTTAGTTGCTCAACAGTGTTTTTCCCTTTTTTGACCTGGTGGAAATTGACAAGAGTCCTACCAAGTTTCCCTTTCTAGGGAACCTGAAGGCTGCAGTGTGGAAAAACCCCATCTTAAAAAAAGAGGAAACCTTATATTAACCAGGGACAGAGTTGTATATTTTTCCTTTAGAAAAGCAACAACTTTTAGACTATAATTGGAGATACCATGTTATCCTCTCCCTAAGCCATTAATCCCTTGTAAAGTAGATTGTGGCCCTTTCATTTCATGGTTCTTTCATTTCGCTGGCCAGATCCAGATGGCATGAGAAGGGATATAAGAAAGGAGTTTGGCTCAGGTTTGGTTTCATTTATGCATTTATGATGTTGTATGAGAAATAGCTATTTACGAGTGTTATGTAATATATTTGGTAAAATTCAGCTCTATAGATATTTATGGCTGATACAGGCAATTGAATACAGGTAGTCCTTGACTTACCACTACAACTGAGCCCAAACTTTCTGTTGCTAAGTGAAGCAGTGAATTTTGCCCCATTTTTAGTTGTTAAATGAATCACTGCAGGTGATAAATGCAGGGGACAGGGGACAGGGGACAGGACAAGGACAGGGGACAGGACAAGAAACAATGGATGGAAACTAATCAAGGAGAGAAGCAGCCTGGAATTAAGGAGAAACTTCCTAACAGCGAGGACAATTAACCAGTGGAACAACTTGCCTTCAGACATTGTAGGTGCTTCATCACTGGAGTTTTTAAGAAGAGACTGGACAGTCACTTGTCTGAAATAGTATAGGATTTCAGGCTTGAGCAGGGGGCTGGACTAGTAGACCTTCAAGGTCCCTTCCAGCTCTATTCTGATTCAGGCATTAAGTTATTAATATGGTTGTTAAGTGAATCTGGCTTCTCTATTGACTTTGCTTGACAGAAGGTCGCAAAAGGTGATCACATCCTGGGACACTGCAACGGTCATAAATATGAGTCAATTGCCAAGTGTCTGAATTTTGATCACAAGACCTTGAGGATGCTGTGAAAAATGATCATGTCACTTTTTTCAGTGATATTGTAACTTTGAACGGTCACTAAATGAACTGTTGTAAGTCGAGGACTTATTGACTGTATTGTGTATGGGCTCCAATCTGAACCACTGTATCTCCCGAAGAGCTTCACGGGCCATCTCTGGTGACTCTGGGCCGTCACCCAAAATGGCGTGGCTGACATTTCAAAACTTTCGTAGCAGTTCTGAGGGTGGGGATTGGAATGCACTTGCTTTGCCCTTTAAAGCCACCCATGAGCCACAACCTGCTTTTCAGCTTCTGGGTGAGTTTTATTTGGAGAATGGAAACAGGCGGCATCCCAGACGCAAACTCTTCTCATTCCCAAGTTTGGGACTCCTGTCCTCTTATTTCATATGTGACAAGTCATCCACTATTGAGGTAATAATAATAATAATAATAATAATAATAATAATAATAATAATAATAATAATAATAATAATAATAATAATAATAATAATAGTAGTAGTAGTAGTAGTAGTAATAATGATAATGATAATAATAATAATAGTAGTAGTAGTAGTAGTAGTAGTAATAAAGTTGGAAGGGACCTTGGAGGTCATCTAGTCCAACCCCTTGCTCAGGCAGGAAACCCCATACCATTTCAGACAAATGGCTGTCCAGTCTCTTCTTAAAAACTTCCAGTGTTGGAGCATTCACCACTTCTGGAGGCAGGTTGTTCCACTGGTTAATTGTTCTAACTGTCAGGAAGTTTCTCCTTAGTTCTAGGTTGCTTCTCTCT